TGAACTCCCTTTTAGGGTTGAAAGGGACTGAAAAAATTCATACCGAGAGATTCTTTAAATTCCCCTCTAATATATATTCTATTCTCTATGGTTAAGATCTAGAAAATTTTTGTAAATCCGTATCCAACCCCAGGAAAACTTAAAATGTCATAAAAGAAAACGTTTCATAAAAATGTTCTATTATCAAGCCCTTTTTATAGGACAGAAACAATTCGTTCTCTTTGCATTAAACAAATTTTCAAATATTTATTTTTATTTTTTAGAGATTACTTCCCTAAACTAGACAAGAACAAGGATTTGAAGGATACTTTTAAATTTATGGTTGTCAGACATCCATTCGAGAGATTACTTTCAGCTTACAGGTACACTGCTTTAATATTCATCCATATTCATCCATATTCACTCATATTCATCCATATTCATTCATATTCATTCATATTCATCCATATTCATCCATATTCATTCATATTCATTCATATTCAATCATATTCATCCATATTCATCCATATTCATCCATATTCATCCATATTCATCCATATTCATCCATATTCATCCATATTCATCCATAGTCATCCATATTCATCCATAATCACCCATGTTCATCCATATTCATCCATAATCATCCATATTCATCCATATTCTATTGTAAAGGGATAAACTGGAAGATTTATCACGTGACCTGGCTGCCCGGGATGGATACTATTACACTATGTATGGTCGCCATATTGTTGCAGAGTACAGGTTTATATTGGATTTCAACTTTTTCAATGTCTAAAGTGTTAAACATGATGTGTCAAACTCGTTGCTAGTTATGTGAAATTACGTAGACTGGTTTTTGGTCACAATCTTCCTTTTAAAATGCAGACAAATAAATGTCCTATTTAGAAGTTAGGTAAAGACTAAAGGAAAATTAATTTAATGTTTTAATATCAAAGCACCACAAAACCGTTTTTTAGTCTTCGATATTAACTCACATGAAATAATATAGCAAATCTTTTTAGGGACAAATCTGACCGAAATTTGACCGGGGTTTCCGAACCAACCTGGAGAGAATTCGTCACCTATATCATAAATACTCCTCCAACTAAGGTATTTAAATTGATTGTGAGATTTATGAGATTAAAAGAATAAAACTGAATTTACCTGTCTACCTGTCTACCTGTCTACCTGTCTACCTGTCTACCTGTCTACCTGTCTACCTGTCTACCGTATACAAGTCTACCTGCCTACCTGTCTACCTGTCGACCTATTTACTTACCCATCTGTCTACCTATCTACCTACCTCCCTATCTCCAGGTACAATGTGATAGCTAAGATGGAAACGTTCGCCGAGGATACCCAGTATATCCTGGAGGAGGCAGGACTAGATACTCAACTAGAGGTCGAGTGGAAGCATAGGACAGGTCCAAAGCCTTTCAGAATTGTTAAAATAGTTATGACTTTAAATAGTCCAGTGAACACGAGCCAGAGCAATTGTACAGTATTAATAGACCCTAAAATGTGGAATAGGAAGACGCCATTTAATCAATCTTTTGTGTATTTGACGTTGTTGTAAATCAAAAAGTTGTATCTTGAGATATTCAACAAAATTTAAATGAGTCTGTGGACATGTACTACTACTGTGTATTTATTATGTTCATTGAAATAGTTAAATCATAATTTAAGTCTTCTTGGCGTCTTCCTTTTCATCAGTTTTCAAAACATCCCTGTAGTTATTAAAAGAGAGTGTCTGGCTAGATGTGCTAGTTGAGCTGAAAGTGCAGTATTGTGCCGAACCACAACCTGTCTGGGGGCGAGCGCCAAGAGGATTTTAAAGATAGATTTTGTGGTCTTACTTAGAAATTATATACCGTACACACGTCTCCTAGGTCTCAAATGCTTGCTAAAATATTCCTCTGCAATACTGCGCACTCTCAGCTCAACTACCATGTCTAGCCAGACACTCCCTTTCAGAATAAAAACCTAATTCTAATTGTGTCTAGGTACCGGAGGGAGTTCGGACATAATGCTTGAATACTTCAGTCAGTTAACCCTAGCAGAGATAGGAGCACTTTTCATTAAATACCAACTAGACTTTGAACTATACGGATACAGTCCAGAACCATACTTTGATATAGCTATTCAAGAACCATAAACCTTCAGAGTTTTTACCAATTTCTCCATTTACACTAAAGCTAGGAACCGTTTCTAAAATGTACATGTACACGTACGTAGAATGCCAGAAAATACGTATAAGCAACTAAAAATTGAAAAATATAACAAATACCGGATGCTTATCAAACGTGGAAGTTACTTTTAAATTTTTACATTTTAGCTTCAGCTTTTAAAAATCAAAACGCAATTGAATATTCTGCTGCCACCTGCTTTTTTTTAACGCTGTTAAAAAGAAACTTTTCAAAAAAAGATTTTATAATAATGCTATTTGCTTTAAAACTAAGCTTTTAGTATATTGTCAGTTCAGTGCTTGTCATTAAAAAGGGACTGTTCACTAAAGTGTGAGATGTTTTTACATTTTTACATTACCCAAATTCTGTAAGCAATCCCATTAAAGGTGCAGTGTTAAATAGATTTACGTTCAGGCGTCGTCGTCGTATATATCAACACAATAAAGACGACTTTCTAGTTAAATTTTGATTTCTACGAAGCTTTCAAACAGCAGAAACATTTAAACAAAGAGAAGTTGTCAAATAAAAGCTTCTTTTTGTTTACTTGTAAACTTGTAATTTGAAAAATGCTTGTTAGTGTTAGAGATCAAAATATTATCAATATAAAATCGTCTTCATTGTATTTATGTGATCGCCGACCACTGCATGATATTTAATCAAAAATATGTTTGTTTTTTTACCCGAAGAGTACTGCGGTTTGCGGGAGGAATGTACACACTGCAGTACACAAACATATTTGTAGCTACCGCTAGTTGTAATATGTCTTGTAATTAATGTATAACTGCATAGTGTGTTACCATGTGATAGTGGTAAATCTTATTCAATAAAAAAGAGAATCTAGTGTTACTTTAAAATCTTATCTTATATTTGCTTCATTTGTTAATGTACTAAATAATATTAAATCAATAATTTGCAAAAGCTTAGTCTGCAGTAAAAAAAAATACATTTTGTCCGATTTGAAATAAATAGTAAACGGACAACATTTTAGAAATTTCTGCCTTAAAACACTTGCGTTAACTTGCAAATATCTGAAACATTAAGTAAATATTTAATTCTCATTTTTAATGGGACAACCTGTAAACACGTACTATACCCGGTGTCGCAATAAACTACCAAAAAAATGGACAGTAAGTCTTAAACAAACCCAGAATCATAGAGAATAGAATATAAATTAGAGAAGAATTTAAAGAATCTCTCGGTATGAATTTTTTCAGTCCCTTTTTACCCTAAAAGGGAGTTCAAAGTGTACAAATCATGTAAATGTTCACAAATTATATGCAGTAGAGTACATTAATACAGTATGTTCCCTTGACTATTCATTTCAATTTCGAATTTTTTAAACTGTTATAACGGAAAATCATCGTTTGTAAAGTGAAAGGCATAGAGTCTATGTGAAATGATCATTGGTCAATTATGAAACCATCATAATTTATATCATAATTTGGGTTTCTTTTAATATTAATTTTAGATTTTCTATAAATTGATGTTCCAGGGCCCAAAAGGTTATTTAGCATAAATATGTGAAGTACACCTGAGCCCAAAACTTAAAACAGGGTATCGTAATGAAAACCAGTTTTAAAACCCGGGTTTCGCGAATGGGGTTAGGCAGTTTTGTGGATATCAATATTTTTTGTTGTGAAATATCATTTTATTTATTTTCTTCATATTCTCCACTTTTTAAATCTTTTAAATCAAAATCTACAATAATGCTTAGACCCCATAAAGGAAACTCGAGAGTTTCGTTCAACGATACTCTTTTAAATTTCGGCTCTGCAGTATGGAAACAGTACAACAAAATGGCCATTTTACACTTTTTTCTAGTAAATTCCCGTCTAATATATATTCTATTCTCTATGCCCAGAATACTTCCAGAACAAGGAAAATAATAAAGGATACTTCCAAGAAAAAAAGTTAAAATTTTAAAATAAAAGTTGAAAAACTTAAAATTTTTAAGGATAAAGTTTTTCCTAAATATATTTCATCACACTCAATTAATTTAAATGTAACATATTTGGCCCATTTTAACCATTTGGTAAAAGCATGTTTTAGTCAAATCGCTTAGTTTTTTCGCAAGAGAAATTGTGATTATACGATTATTTTCATTTTGAATTTTTTCATGTAACCAAGATACTTTGATTCTTTTATTTTTAAATTAAACATTATTAAAAAATTCTAGTTGGAAAAAATATTTAACACAAAACCGAGGAAAATAGTAACTTAATTCTCATTTTTAGCTCATTTTGCTTTTTCCTTACGCTATGCCCTAATTGTATTCACTAATTGATAAACTAACTTAAAATATACTTTTGTCACAAAAATATCGAATATGACAAATAATGTATTTTGTTTAGTTCATATTTGGAGATTTTATCAAATATTTAATGTCTGCTTTTGCTGTGAATTTACTGAAATAAAAATGAAATATTTTTAACCAATTTGTATTCTGTCGGCTAGGAAAAGAGTCCCAACTCGATTATTTCATCAGGGGGTCTGACTTTTTTTATTAATGTGAAAATGTAACGTCAATGTATAAAGAAGACCAGGTTTCTAATGTGACACACTTCAATCTCGTATTTTAATGTAGGGGTCCAGGGGACAGTGATTTTTATAGTATAGTTTAAAAAAAACACTTTTGTCAAATTCTATATTTAAGAAAACCGATGTCGTGACCTTGCTTATTTCAAACTACAGTGATAACCAGAAAACTGTAAAATAGGAAGACGACAATAAAGCAATAATTAGGCGTATTTGATATTGTTACAAAACGAACAGTTTACTAGTAACCTTTAATATCCATCATGAAACATGAAATGGATCTGTTTAAACTGCACAATTGCTGTTTCTCAAGTTTATTAAACTTCTGTCTAATAGTCGTCTTCCTATTCCAAAGTTTTCTGGTTATCACTGTAGTAACTTATTAAATCATTTATTAAATGAAATTAGTCTGTTTATACTTCATAATTGATGTATATATTATGTTCTTACCTCGAGTTTTCTGGTTCTCATTGTAGTAAAAAAAAAGTTTAAAATATCAAAGGTTGACTCCATCAGGTTGCCAAAAATTTTAGTATTTTTCAGTGCCGTCCAATATACTTTATTATCTGTTCAGGGTGAAATAACTTAGATAAAGAAACCCTTACTACAAGGTTAACTGTTAACTTCATTAACTCTTTAACAATTTTACAAACATTCCAGAGAATACAGACAGTGGGAGAGAAGGGTAGACAAGGATAGATAGAGATATAGAAAGCTAGGAGAAAGATTAGTCTTGTCTAGACTCTGGGTCGAGAAGGTCAACACAGTCGACAGGTAAATTGTAATGTTTAAAATTAACTATAAGGCGCTTTTCGCCTCTCCATTGTTTTTTGTTTTCGTCTTTTTGAAATCAATTTCTCTTTGAAGTTTATTGGATTTGAAGCAAAACAATTTTTGGCGGATTTTTTAAATTTGCTATAACCAATATTCACTAAAACATGGATTGCGTTAAAAATATATTTAGTGATTTTTTTAACATTATTAGACATTCTGGTCATTGCATACATAAAATTAAGAACAGATCCATAATTATGATAATTTGATCATTTTACATCAAACACTTGGCTTGGCTTGAATCTAAAAGTATTACAAATAAAATAAAAAAATTTGTATGTTTGTACGTAGTTTATATGTAAATACTATATAGTCGCTTAATCAATTCACTTCTGAAATCTTAATTTACGTTAATATATATGTAAGTTAAATAAAATTCTAAGTCTGTGTTTGTAAACAAAGGGAGTCCAGTTTTTGTTGTATACTGTGCATTCCGTACAGACCAATTTATATATATATATATATTTATATATATATTATTTTTAAATAATTGGGACATAAAATGTCGTCATCCAACTATGAGTTTGGCCCACTTTTGTCCAGTTTCTGTGCACTCCGTATACTGACCAATTTATATATATACATATATATTATTTTTAAATAATTGGGACATAAAATGTCGTCATCCAACTATGAGTTTGGCCCACTTTAGTATTTAATCACTTTGGGTAATATGTATCTATTAAACAAAGAATTTGATTTTGTATCAGTTCAATAATTTTGAATACCATGGGGAAATCTGTAAACATTCTCTTTCCTAAAAATGTGTTTGCCTGACCTGAAGGTTTATTTAAGCCTGGGTGCAGAGGGCAAGTTCCTCATAAAAAGCTAAAAATGTGTTAACAGTTATGCGAATATTCAGAAAATTCGTCTTGTTTTATTTCAATATACAGTGGAGTAGGAAGACGCCAGTTGATTTTGTTGCAGAGAAAAGGAATTGAGTCTTTGCCACAAACTCTGATTTTCTAATCTCTATATCTTTGGAACCTAATGTTGTAGACCTTAGATATTTCAAACTATGAAGTCTGTTAGATCAAGTAATCTGAGTTTGAAATATCAAAGGTTTACAACATCGGGTTCTAGAGATATTGGGGTTTAAACATTTGATTTTGTTCCAAAGACTCAATTCCTTTAACAGTTAATTTGAAAACCATCTTGTGGGTCCATGTGTACATTGCACAATTGTTGTGATTTTTTTTCATTAGACTATTCATAGAGCTTGAGTCCAACGGTCGTCTTCCTATTTCACCGTATTATGAGTCTCACTGTGTATTTTAATGGCTTATTAAATGATTTGGCAAGGATAGTAAAAAGTGTACAGTTGTAGGAATCATGAATATAAAGAAACAGACAGTATAAATTCACTACAGTCGTCTCTGAAGTCTAATACTTAGTGGATAACCCTGTATATCAGACGGTGAAATGGTTGAAACAATATTTTATTAGTAAATATAAAATAGCTCGCAGAAAAATAAACCAGTTAAAGTTATACTTTAGTCCGCACATGAGCGCGAAGCGTTATTTCAACCTAGTTGAACTTTATTATCAGCAATGAAAAAAGACAATTCTAAAGATGTATTTAAGCATACTGCAGAATGATGCCATCATGGGAAACAAAGGGTAAATATCCCTATCGGAATGTGGTCAGGTAACCTTGGAATGTTTGCACAAAAACAAATTGTGCAAAAAGGTGTGAAATTGGCTTTCTGCACGGCCATCACAATAAAGAATTCAAGTGGACAAATTGATAGTTATTTTCAAATTCTTGATTTATTAGAATAACGAGAGTAACGTGTACACTGTACAGTGTACAGTGTACAGTGTACAGTGTAAATTGTGTATTATGTATTGTGTATTGTGTATTGTGTATTGTGTATTATGTATTGTTATTGTTTATTGTGTATTGTGTATGGTGTATTGTGTATTGTGTATTGTGTATTGTGTATTATGTATTGTGTATTGTGTATTGTGTATGGTGTATTGTGTATTGTGTATTGTGTATTAGGTATTACGTATTGTGTATTGTGTATTGTGTATTGTGTATTGTGTATTGTGTATTGTATATTGTGTTTTATGTATTGTGTATTGTGTATTGTGTATTGTGTATTGTGTATTATGTATTGTGTATTGTGTTTTGTGTATTGTGTATGGTGTATTGTGTATTGTGTATTGTGTATTGTGTATTGTGTATTGTGTATTGTGTATTGTGTATTGTGTATTGTGTACTTTGTATTGTGTATTGTGTATTGTGTATTGTGTATTGTGTATTATGTTTTGTGTTTTGTATATCATGTATTGTGTATTGTCACATTGTATATTTTGTACAGTGTACAGTGTACAGTGTTCAGTTTAGTGTACAATTTGTACATAAGAAAAGAAAAGAAAATATTTGTAGGATGTCTGATTTAATGTGGGGAGGGGTCCCTTTTCAAATTCCAAGCAAAACGGCCATGAAGTATATCAGCAGAGCTGTTAAAGTTAAGGTAAAAAAGCCATCTAAAACGTACATTTAAAAGAAGTTTAAATATTTGAAAATATTCAGAAAAGTTTTGGAATAAAGCCTGTTTGACAGTTTATAGATATTCCAAGGGCCAATATACATACTTATCTCATTTTCCCAGAGATGAGATTTTAAAAGTTTAAACCCAAGTAAAACCCAACTCGGGCTTAGATTGAACCCAAGTCAGGATTGGTTCTGATTCGACCAATGAGAGACTGTTAAGCAAGCTTTCTCTCTGTAGCAGGCAGAATGCCGTCAGATCAGCTGTGACAAGGAGATGTAAATTTCGAAAATACATACTTTTTGTAGATACGTTATTTTCGTAGTATGTTTATCTTATATATTTAATAAAATTTGACAGCACTAATAATTCCCGAGATTTTAAATGTAAAGATTTTACGCAATTCACGATCATCAGGTGCTGAAGACTCGAGCCTTAATGAGAGAAAACCCCAAGATGGTTGGTTTTTACTTAACTCAAGGCCATCCAAAACCCGGGTCTTGACTTGAGCTTTTCTTGGATCTAAGCAGAAGCAAAGACTGGGTTTTACTCGGGTTGAAGCTTTTAAAATCTCGAGTTTTTTGGTTATCTAAGTAAAGTAATTTATAGTTTTCATAAATCTTGCACAAATTAGGGAATATATTAACAAATAGGTGTATAATCTCTTTAAAACTATTTCGTACACTTCAATATTTTTTAAACATTTCAAAAAATAAATCTATCATTTTTATTTCTAAAAGTTGTAGTTCATCGTCGAAAAATACTAACAATCCACCACTAGTTTATATCAAATATAATGTAAACCATAAATATTTAACTTTCCTTTTCCTATTATTTATATTTTTTTTTATTTTTTTAGAAATGGCCACAACCTCTATTATTGGAGGTTTTCAAATATTTTCTCCGTAAACACATTATTTTGTATGTTTTTGTTATTTTTCATAAATAAATAATTACTTACTTACTTACTTACTAACTATATTAGCATAAGTAAAAAGTAAGTGCATCTGCAAACTAAAAAAGTGACAAACGAGCTGCAAAAATTCCAATGCTTTCCAGATGTCTTTTGTGCAATTTGCATTTGAGATTTCTCCATGACAAGTCGTGCAAAATATTTTGTATGTGTCTTTATTGATCAACAATTGCGTGCTTGAAAGTACATATAAATGATTCTTATTTTTAGCGAGAATGTGAAATTCCTGTTGGCGGCCGATATAATGCTCGGAAAACTATGGAACGAGAGGTAAACATAAACATAAACATGAACATAAACATAAACATAAACATAAACATAAACATAAACATAAACATAAACATAGACATAAATATTGTTTTAAAAGAAGTCAAGCAACTTATAAAACTAAATTTTGTCTAAAATCCTGACTCCTTGATTTTTATCTTCTTCAAAAAACGTGATCGTAAAGTTTTTAAAATGCAATGATGACAAATTTTAGATCATTCAGAACATTAAATTCAAACACCAACCAAATTCTGATATTAAGACCTCTTCCTTATTTAAAAATGATGCTGCTCAAATCAACCTTTAACACTTTTTAAAGGGTCAAAAACCCTAATCATCATTTTTTGTGTTCAAAGTGTTATGTGATTATAATTCTTTAGATCCCCGGTCATAAGCAGTGCAGAGCTGATATGCTTGATAGTTATGAAAACTATAATTTGATGAAAAGACGAGCTAGGACAGAACCAAGGATGGAACCTTGTTCAGGGGTCAGTGCTTCTAAATTATCCGCAGGTATCACACACACTAAACTAAGCAGGTGGGGTAGGTTAAATAGGCCATATATGATAGGCCTGGTACTGTAAAAAGTCTGGCCACGCCATCAAAGTTTAACCCGACCCAACATGGTACAAAGCGAGCGTCACTAAGGCCTGTACAAGGAGTTGGTCCGGTTTAAATAGAAATACCCTAGTCCACCGTGATCAAGGATATTTGAATACTCTAGACAGGACACAAGTTCTAAAATATCCCGAGGTATCTAGGATATTATTACACTCTAGACAGGACACTATAGTTCTAAACTATCCGCAGGTATCTAGGATATTATAATACTCTAGACAGGACACTAGTTCTAAACTATCCGTAGGTATCTAGGATATTTGAATACTCTAGACAGGACTCTAGTTCTAAACTATCCCCAGGTATCTAGGATATTTGAATACTCTAGACAGGACTCTAGTTCTAAACTATCCGCAGGTATCTAGGATATTAGAATACTCTAGACAGGACACTAGTTCTAAACTATCCCCAGGTATCTAGGATATTTGAATACTCTAGACAGGACTCTAGTTCTAAACTATCCGCAGGTATCTAGGATATTAGAATACTCTAGACAGGACTCTAGTTCTAAACTATCCCCAGGTATCTAGGATATTATAATACTCTAGACAGGACACAAGTTCTAAACTATCCGCAGGTATCTAGGATATTATAATATTCTAGACAGGACACAAGTTCTAAACTATCCGCAGGTATCTAGGATATTATAATACTCTAGACAGGACACTAAAGTGCTAAGCTATCCGCAGGTATCTAGGATATTATAATACTCTAGACAGGACACAATATTTCTAAACTAAACATAGGTATCTAGGATGTTAGAATACTCTAGACAGGACACTATAGTTCTAAACTATCCGCAGGTATCTAGGATATTATAATACTTTAGACAGGACACTATAGTTCTAAACTATCCGCAGGTATCTAGGATATTAGAATACTCTAGACAGGACGCTATAGTTCTAAACCATCCCCAGGTATCTAGGATATTAGAATACTCTAGACACGACACTATAGTGCTAAGCTATCAGCAGGTACAGGGTGTCCCACGAAACATGACAGTTGCTGAAATAGTTTAAAATGTCTTCTTCCAGAATATGTCAAGTTGTTTGTTGCCAAAGAGAATAATAATAAATATTGTATGGCACCCATATTATAGTAAAATTGATTTATAAGTAAAATATATTTAAGTAAAAATTTTTTTAGCTATATAAACTGCAAAACAATTGTAATATCGAATACAGCCTATGGAAGAAGACATTCAAAACTATTCACCAACTGTCATGTTTCGTGGGACACCCTGTATGTATCTAGGATATTATATCTAGACAGGACAAAATATTTCTAAACTAAACAAAGGTATCTAGGATAATACATGTTGAGATTTATGATTTAGAATATAAAACTGTTCTAAAACAGGAATGTGGACAATTTATCCAGTCAAGTATAATTATACATAGCAGAAGAGAACCGACCTAAATTGTGTCAAAATATATATATATATATATATATTTACGTGAGTCCGACACATTTAACTAAAGTAAGCATAATGATGCTTTTGTTTTAACTAGACAATAGTTTAACAATACCATAAAGCGCACAATGTAAAAAGTGTAGATTGTAGATTGTAGATTGTAGTGTAGAGTGTAGAGTGTAGAATATAGAGTGTAGAGTGTATAGAGTGTAAAGTGTGGAGTGTGGAGTGAGGAGTGTGGAGTGTGGAGTGTGGATTGTGGAGTGTGGAGTAGAATGTAGAATATAGAGTGTAAAGTGAAGAGTGTACAGTGTAGAATATAGAGTGTAGAGCATAGAGTCTGGAGTGTAGAGCGTAGATCGTAGAGAGTAGAGCGTAGAGCGCATATTGTAGCGTGCAGCGTGCAGAGTACAGAGTGAAGCGTACAGAGTGCAGAGTGCAGAGTGCAAAGTTTAAAGTGTTTGTTGCTGAAAATAAACTGTATGTAAACTATTATAGAGGACGTGAGTCAGACTCTAATAAAAACGCATAAATAACTTCCAGTATATATATTTCTTATAACTTATTACTAGAGGGTTCAGAACTAGAGTCAATATCGATATCACACGTGTAGACTGTAGATCATTTATCAGTCCTATGCCCCGTATCCGTTCTATCTCATTCTGTTGAATCTTGTGGAACTATTTTAACGCGGCCAGGCATCGTCTTCCACACTATCACTTAATGAGTCAGGTAGAAGGTTTTTTTTTTAATTTTTCTGTGGCTGCTCTAGCTGCTCTAGCCAATCTAGCTGCAACAGCTGTTCTAGCTGTTGTAGCAGTTCTAGCTGTTCTTGCTGTTCTAGCTGCTCTAGCTGCTATAAGTGCTATAGCTAGCAGGCTCTAGTTGCTCTAGCTGCTCTAGCTGCTGTAACTGCTCTAGCTGCTCTAGCTGCCTTGGCTCCTCTAGCTTATCTAGACGCTCTAGCTGCTGTACCTGCTGTAGCTGCTGTAGCTGCTCTAGCTACTCTAGCTTCTTTAGGTGATATAGCCGCTCTTGCTGCTCCCCTGATTAACTCAAATTAAAAAACAGATATTTTAGTTTTTACTAGACTACACTCAGTCACAGTCATGGATAGAAACAAACTTGCATTCTTTCGGGAAGGGGGGAGAAATAAGAGAAGGGGGTGGGGCAGGGGGTAAAGGAGGGGAAGTTGGGAGAAACGAGAGGAGAGAAGCTTTTTTTTGTTGAGGGTAGAATATTTCTATAGTCATGTTATATGTTTATACAGGACTTGAAAGATCCAATCAGATTTGATCTTTAGGTCTTCTTGTTCTTGCTTTTTATATGCTAGAATTAGTATTATTTTGAAATTATTTGCTAGATATATTTCAAAACAATATATTGATTTACATATACAAGACATTTTGAAATGATAATTGTTCTTAAAACATACCAAGTTTCAGTTTGACCCTACATGTCAGTAAAACTTTTAGCATCTAAATCTCCCACCCCCATCCCTTTGCTTTCCTCGNGTCCAGGTTTATTTTCAGTTGTCAGGACATTTTGCTAAAATTTTCCTTGTTTCTTCCTGAAAGGATAAACTCTGTTTTGTATTTGTTCACTCAACAAACAGCTAAATATTTTTAAATAAAGCTCATAACAGTTTTAAATTTTTGCACCAGTGTATCCTGTGTCCTTTTAACTAATTGCCTTGCATCAACTGTATCCTTTGCCCTTTCATTTAATTTCATACCCTCTGTATCATCTATATCTTCTTTAATATCTGTATCCTCTGTATCCTATGTAATGTATCCTCTGTATCCACTAAATCCTCTTTATCATGTGTATCCTCTGTATACTCTGTTCTTTATCCTGTGTATCCTCTGTATCCTCTGTTTCCTCTGTATCCTCTGTATCCTCTATATCCTCTGTATCCTCTGTATCCTCTAAATCCTCTTTATCATGTGTATCCTCTGTATACTCTGTTCTTTATCCTGTGTATCCTCTGTATCCTCTGTATCCTCTGTTTCCTCTGTATCCTCTGTATCCTCTAAATCCTCTTTATTATGTGTATCCTCTGTATACTCTGTTCTTTATCCTGTGTATCCTCTGTATCCTCTGTATAATCTGTATCCTCTGTATCCTCTGTATCCTCTGTATCCTCTGTATCCTCTGTATCCTCTGTATCCTCTGTATAATCTGTATCATCTGTATCCTCTGTATCCTCTATATCATTTGTATCCTCTGTATCCTCTGTATCCTCTGTATCCTCTGTATCCTCTGTATCCTCTATATCCTCTGTGTCTTCTGTATCAACTGTATTATTTGTATCCTTTATATTAATATAAATGCATCATAGTGACATACAATTGCGTATTTTTCTTCTAAATGGAAAAACAAATATATTTTCTATCTCAGGTTAAGTAGGAAAGTAAAATACTTGTAAAAATATCTAGTATCCCAGGTCAAGTATATTCAAGCACATACATTATTCATTGAGTTAGGTTTAAATATTTCTATACTGAAAACAAACCTTAAAGACTGCAATTGTGGAGTACGGCAGGAACATAAAGGCCTGATTGTTAATGAAGAGCTCAAAACTTTAGAATTGGATTTTGAGATTAATGCTTGATCCACTCTTATTCTTAATCTCGAGATTAAATAATGCTTGTTATCCTCTTGTTATTAATCTCCAGATTAATGAACTGATCGGGATTAAGGATATCCCATTCTAAATTTTCAGCTCTGATCGCTTAATCTGAATATCCACTGTGGAAACTTTAAATTTTTTTAATCCGCTCTTGTTGGATATCACATTTCATACTACATGTAATAAATATACGTTTGATTACAAATACAGATGTGATGCTACATTGTTGGACTAATATCCGATTGAACTATAAGTCGGCTGTTCACAAGCCAGCTTTAGAGCATTTAATTAATTTGAACTTAATCATGATTGTATGAACTTATTAAAAACATATTTTATCACATTTGAGGACTATAGTCCTAAGACGTTAGTCTTAAGAAACATTAATCCAAAACTTAGGTTCGTTCAATCAATCATTAGTCCAATTGATATTACACCACAAATGCGGGAAAATTAAAAACCGGTTTTTCAAAAGTTAAAGAGCGCATCTCTAATCTATAGAAATTAATCTAAAGACTAAATTAGTCTTGATATTAGGCAAAAGTTCCCAGCTTTATTCATACAAATTATGTCATCATTTTTTGAAAAACTGATTCTATGCTTATGCTATATGGCCTATTAAGCAAAATTTCTTTATGTTATGTTATTTTAAAAAGAGTAATATACATACCTGATTTTTGAAGAAACAGCAAATTGGCAAAAAATGGAAAAAGAGGGTTGGATTATAATAATAGAATTATGAAGTTGTTTACATTATGTATTGTTTAGGGCATGAGTACCTGGTCCCCTTGGATCCTATTTACTATCATGAGAAATCCTGCTGCTTCAGGAATACGCTGACCCGCTGCCCTCTCTTCAGATCTACTAAACCGGTTATAGGAACATAGAGATCAGATTTTATACCAGTTTATACCTTTTATAGGAACATAGAGATAAGATTTTAATTAAACCATTTTTTACCGGTTTTAGTAAAAGAGAGATCAAATTATAACCAATTTTAATCAGATAGATATTGCCAGGCTACACTTGTTGCATGAAACGTGCTGGGTCGACTTTACACCTTGTGAAGTCCAGACTGGACAGTACAAATGAAAGCATATACAGTACATAATGTTCCGGCTTACATCATGCTTGGAGCACTGGGTAACCGGTTATAGTAACAGAGAACTGGGATTCTTAAATTTTTAAAAATTTAACATTTAAATTTGATTTATTAATGATGAACCGAAAAGATTTTAGTCTCAACAATAATTTGGTCTTTTTATCAAGAGCAATACAGTGCTTGATTTAGTTAGACGTATTTGTAACATTTTTTATACTTGTTATACTTGAGTGAAATAAAGTGACCTCAAGTAAGTGCACTCTCCAAGAAGTTTACTGTAAATCATAGCAAATGTTAAGGTAAAGAAAGGTTCCATTATTTTTAAATTTTAAACATTTTTCTCTTTATGTAACCAGGAATGACGGAGCCGAGAGCTGAAAAGTTTATAGGTAATTTTGTTTAAACCATACAGACAAAATAATTCATTTATATTGTTAGAGATACGATTTCTATTTTCAATTTATTCATGTGCTTAAGGAATACAAAATATCGACAAAATATCGGCAAAATTTAGGAAAAATAAGGCAAAATATCGGCAAAATATCGACAAAATATAGGCAAAAATCGAAAGAAAAAAAAATAATTACGAGCGTGTTTTAACGATTGTTTTAAAGATAAAAATATTGTATGGTAGGTATGGTGGATACCAGGATAAGGATTCCAGGATATATTGGAGGGAGACGGATTAGAGATACAGGCTTTGCTGGACTCAGCACTTTAATCTAACCAGGAGATAAGAGGGTAATATTGTTATTGAAATTCTAATTTTATTTAGAGTAATTTATAAACTGGGCATGGTGGGAGACGTTTTTTTTAATGAAAAGAAAACTGTCTTTTATAATAAAATCCTAGAATTTGTAATCTTCATTCTTCCAAATAATGTAATTTTCGTCATTTACTCTTGTGTTTACCTCCCCCCCCCCTAGTTGCGCCTCTGATCTAGTCAAAAAAGTGTCAAAGAAGGGTCCACCTACATTACTCCGCGTATGGAAGTGTTATTAAAATTGTTGAATAGATGTAAGTTTCTTATTTAGTCATTTGTAAATTAAGTGCCCAAAATATTTACGTAAATATTATGTTTGCTATAAACACAGTTTTTAAATGTCTGAGCGCTGTATAAATTTATTGAATGCTTAATTTAGCTTTTCAATAATCTTTACCACAGCCTTTTATCTAAATGTTTTTATTTTAGGTTCCTGGTGGAAAGAAGAAACCCTGGAGCTTCGAGATCGAAATATAAATTTATGAAAATTAAAAACGAAATACATAATTTTTTATAATAGATATTTGTTTAAATCAAGAGTCGTAGATTATTCAAACTTCGAGTATTATGAATAGTTAAAAATTTTCTTTTACTTTTGAATTTATATTATTTTTTATTTGGTTCATTTCTAATAAAATTAACTCACTTTCTAGTTGATCAAATCACCAACATGTTGGCACATATAACATAAAATTACATAAAATTAACTCTGTAAGATTTGAGGTCAGATTTGGGTAAAGCTTAAAGTTTATCTAGGTACATGTACGAACAGGTGAACTAGTTCTGCATATGTGACCGAGAGTACATCAGGAGTACATCCAAGAAGTAGTTCAACTTAGAGATGGGAGCGTTTATTTTTTACAATTTGTTTGTTCAGAGTATTTGTTTCTTCAATAAAATCTTTCGTTTTTTTTCGTTCGTTAAAAAAACGATAGTTTTCTCTCTTAAACAATCCAGTTCGTTCGCTCATCGTTTCATGATTTCACTGAAAAACACCATCGGACACGAACATTTCGCTCGTTTTAACAAAAACGATTCCCATTTCTAGTTTTAATAAACTGTCTTGTTAGTGATACATTTCAATTTTTAAGGTTTAAGAAGTTATTCAAGGTTTTATTAATTCATAAGCAAAGTGAGGAAAGAAATCTTCACTTTTGTAGAAATTACTTACTTAATTTTCTACAATATATTTCGTTATCATTAAATACAAAATAAAAATTAGACATTTTTTAGTCGTTTTTGCAATGACATTATCTCTGACCCCTCATATACAATTATTTTTTGTTTAAAATTTAAAAGGTCATTTATCTGTTAGCGTTAACAATTAGTTTTAAAGACTACAGACCTAACTATCTTTTAACATTTCTAAATATCTTTTTCCATCTTTGCTAGGTTAATTAGTTTATTTCATTAAAATAACAAGCAATGTTCTTCTTAATTAGTTTAGAGAGAAAATTGTTGCATTTTTCATCGAAATTTCATAATACCTATATAAATTACATAAAAGTATTCGTCTCTTTTTTGTGTCTGTTTATTTGTTCAATTGTATGTCTTAAAACAACGGCATGTTTTCCCGCCGAACCCGTTTTTTTGTAATTATTAATATTTTCAGCATATGTTTAACTAAATTAAAAATTCAAGAGATACGGACAGTTGCATATTCTTGAATCTCAAATGTTCTGATTCTTAAAAAAATTTCCTAAAAAGTTCATTTTTTTATTACATATGCAAAAAATCAGTCTTATAATTTATGGTTTCACAGAATCCAAAGTTATTTTTTTTTAAATCATATTTTTTATTATACAATAATAATTTCATATTTATGGTTCTGAAACTTGCTACAAGTCGATAATCCAAACCAATGTTTATGGTTTCAAACCAAACTTTGTCTTATGGGTAGATCTGGTCACGTTCTCGTTTTATTCAAAACCGTCCATTTCACGATCAAATTCGTTAACTATAATCTTCGGCAGGATCGTTCGTCATAGGTTCAATAATTTGAAATCGTCCCGTTTAAAAATTTTGTTCTGGTTTTGTTGATTAACAAATGTTCAAGATGTTATAAAAAAACTAGTAAATCACTTTTAGGTCACACTGTATAAAAATTCAGGTTAAACCCCGTAGTTTTAGTATTAAGAAAAGTCAATTTATTGTATTTTGTATTTGTATCTAACAACTTTGAGAACAAAATTGTAATTGGACGAATTTGACTTTAAAAAAACTATTTTACATAGTATTGTATAGTTAAAACATGCTTCTATATATATAGGTTTCTAAAGTTTCGTCTAAAGCCGTTGAATATTGCAATATTTTACTAGTCACAAAAACCGGTTTTCGTCATCGTAATGTCGACCTGTGACTGTGAGGATTGGAATTATTTTAATGTTCAATATATTATATATAATTTTCTGGTTGAAATCGATCACCTCTTTATTTATCAAGGACTTATACTAGATCTTGGATTTTTGATTTGATCAACTCTCAGATGAGCTAAATTTTTGCCAGCATTAATTCCGCTGTTTTTATCACGAAAATGTTTAAACGTAAAACTACGAACTGAGATCTAGGTTTTCCTCAATCATCTGAATATTAGCATCAACTGATTCATGTCGTGAACTGGGACAAGAACTGCTTTTAACTTTTTCTGTGCTGTTGCGATTGCTCGGCCGTTTAATACTGAAAATAGTAAATACATTACAAATATTGTTAATTAACTTTAAAACTAAACTCAAATAATATCGAAACATTTGTATTTAATATCAAATTATGCAATAATGAAATAATACATTTATTGATAAATTACCTAAAGATACTTTAACGGTATACGTGTTTTCTTTTTCAACCGCGTGGAAAAAGAACTTTTTTCTGAAAAAAAGTTAAGTTTAATTTTCTGATTTTTTTGTAAATTCGAAATTTCGGACGCTTTGATCGAAATTCTGAACAGAAGGTTAGGGATATGTCACAAACTTAAATTGTATAATCCCTAAATATTTACAACCTAAAGGTGTAAACCTTTGATATTTCAAACTTAAATTACTTGATCCAACATTATTCAGAATTTGAAATATCTCTGGTCTATAACATTGTGCTGCTAAGATATAAGGATTAGAGAATAAGAGTGTTTGGCAATTTTGTTCCATATTTCGATTAAAAGATACAAATACCTGGGTAGATCACCAGGCTTAATAACTCTTCCAGCTTTCCGGAAATAACTTTTGAATAGAACTTCTATTATTTCTATTGTATATATATATATATATATATATACAGGGAGTCCCAAAAACATCTGATCAACTGGTGTAAACTAGAGCCGTCTATCATTCTCGTAGCAAATCTTTTTTAAGCTTTAAGTTTTGGAATTCCTCTGATGCAATATACAGGAAGGGATTTCATAGATAATCAGATTTCAATCTATGATTTATCTTAAATACAAAGTTTACACCCCCAGGCCAAGTATTTTGGACCAGCTTGAACAAACAATAGAATTGAAAGGTTTTAAGAAAATCCACCCTGGATATCAGAGGTGCAGAGCATTAAAGTAACAAGCTAATGGAGGCCATACTGTAGAGAACAAAATTTTTTGAATTTCCAACATGTAACCCCGGATTTTCCTTGTCCGTAAAATCAATACTAGAGAGAATAGTCACATTCAAAAATTCATTACAAAATATAAGCTTGTAGTTTGTGTAGAATTAAAAGAAAATAGCATTATCTAACATTTTAAGATACAAATGTCGACATTTTTTAAACATAAGTTTCTATTTCCTGAAGAATTTGAGCTCGTCTTCCTTTGTAAAGAGAACTACTTCAACTGAATCCTAGTGGGTAAAAAAGGCATTAAAGGAATTATTTGAAGGTTTCAAGGTACTCACTAAATTGTAGTAGTAAATAAACCTCCAAAAATAATGAGTGTGGGATTATTTCTCCCTAATTCTAAAAAACAAGGAAAAGGAAAAGTTACATATTTATTGTTTACATTACATTTAATACAACTAGTGGTGGATTGTTAACATTTTTCGACAACTTTTAGAAATTAAAGATTTATTTTTAATGTTGAAAAAATAAAACAGGCTTTAAAGGGAGTGTTCGCGAAAAATAATATTTATAATATTTTATTTTTTTAGAAAACGTTTTCAACGGATTTTGAAAATTGCAAGTGGTGTGCGGCATTCTTAGATAGTTGCGTAAGCTACAAGAGAAACAAACAAATTAATTAAAAAATATTATAAAAGATAAACTATATCCAAATGTGGCGAAAGATAATCGATGAATATAGGTTGTAATATCTGAATGATTTGTTTGAAATTAAATTGATTTTTTACGGTCTCGTATGTTGCAATTTTCTCAATTTGTATGGCCGCTAAGTTATTCGGTATGAGACGTCTTTAACAATTTTCTCCTTATAGACGCAACAGATAGAAGTAAGATTAGTAGCGATCAAAAGCGCTTTTTTATCGCATTAAGCCTATACCCCCTTTCATTTTTCGCGAACACTCCCTTTAAGGGTTGTGAAAAAAAGATATAAGTTCTAAATAAATCGAGCATTTTTAAGCATTTTTTAAATTTGCGCCGATTTTTGACATCCTTTATGTTTGATTATAGCGTTTACTATTGTCAATCTTTTTAGTCTTTTCTTTGTAATGTCTGTCCTTGGTTCAATCTGTATAGCGTACATACCTTGTCTGTCCTTGGTACAATCTGTATAGCGTACATACCTTGTCTGTCCTTGGTACAATCTGTATAGCGTACATACCTTGTCAGTCCTTGGTATAATATGTTCAGTGTATATACCTTGTCTGTCCTTGGTACAATCTGTATAGCGTAAATACCATGTCTGTCCAATTGGTACAATCTGTACAGAGTAAATACCTTGTCTGTTCTAATCTGTACAGTGTACATACCTTGTCTGTCCACGGTACAATCTGTACAGTGTACATACCTTGTCTGTCCTTGGTACAACCTGTACAGTGTACTGTGTACATACCTTGTCTGTCCTTGGTACAATATGTTCAGTGTACATACCTTGTCTGTCCTTGGTACAATCTGTACAGTGTAAATACCTTGTCTTTCCTTGGTACAATCTGTACACTGTATATACCTTGTCTGTCCTTGGTACAATCTGTACAGTGTACATACCTTATCTGTCCTTGGTAAAATCTGTACAGTGTACATACCTTGTCTGTCCTTAGTACAATCTGTACAGTGTACATACCTTGTCTGTCCTTGGTACAATCTGTACAGTGTACAGTGTACATACCTTGTCTGTCCTTGGTACAATATGTACAGTGTACATACCTTGTCTGTCCTTGGTAAAAGCTGTACAGTGTACAGTGTACATACCTTGTCTGTCCTTGGTACAATCTGTATAGTGTACATACCTTGTCTGTCCTTGGTACAATCTGTACAGTGTAAATACCTTGTCTGTCCTTGGTACAATCTGTACAGTGTACATACCTTTTCTGTCCTCGGTACAATCTGTACAGTGTACATACCTTGTCTGTCCTTGGTACAATCTGTACGGTGTACATACACTGAATAGCATCCATCTTTCCAAATATATGCCGAGCTAGAAAATAGCAATTAAGTCTTCAAATCTGAAATATCTGAACTCAAGATTCAATGATTTACCTAAAGGGGATTCAGAGAATACCAGGACAACTTCCCCCTCATCTGAAAAAAATGTAAATCCCAAAAATACTGTTTAAAAAATGTCAAAAGTCTGTTTTTTTGCTTTTCCCATTTTATTTTGTCGGATTCATAGGACTGTGACGCAATTTTGTGTAAAAGCATGAAATCAAAATATTGAAATAGTTTTTTTTTGTCAACATTCATAATTCATTTACCTACTCCATTTTCAGACGGCATGCGCTCTAAAAACAGAAATAAATAAGATTTGTTTTAAATTGTTAGAGAATTAAGATTTCTGACATTACTTGGTTTGGTTAAGATTTTTGAAAAATCTTTCAGAAAAAAATAATTTTATGAATTTTTACGACGGGGCCACAAATAAACTCTGTTAAAATCCCATAAAAGACCAAAAACTCTTAAAATTTAATATTTTCTAAATATAAAAACCACCACATAGCTTTTTGATCGATTTTAATTATTTGAGTTAAATTTAAAAAGTTGTCGGTAGCCAGAATCTCTTCAGATTAAAAAACGCCAGACGAAAAATGATCTAAAGCTTTTTCTTAAAACGTTTGGATGAATCCCCTTAATATTACACTACTTTCATGGAACCAACTGGGGGAATAGGTTGGGTATCCTGTTCTAAAACTAGCTGTGAAAGGGGGGGTATGTATCCTGTTCTAAAACTAGCTGTGAAAGGGGGGGGATGTATGCTATTCTAAAACTAGCTGTAAAAGGGGGGGAGGGGTATGTATCCTGTTCTAAAACTAGCAGTGAAAGCGTGAAATAAAAGTTTAAAAGAAAAGTTTTCTGTTCCTAAAGAATGAATGATGGGCTGGCATTGATCTCTAAATGATTTATCAAGAAGAGCCATCACCCTGAGACAAGGAGCTAAACCCGAGGTTGCAGCCAACAGATCCAACAATAATCTATTAATATACAATTTTTTCAAACTTATTCAGTCATAAGAAGGCTTGGATCTTGCCTTTCCCTTTCATGGCAAGAGTAATGCAAGAGACAAATAAAAAGTTAGACATTTAAATAAACAAATTTTAAAATTTTGAAACCTGTGATCATAGTTTTTTATCAAAAATAAACAAGCAAAAACTACATTTAAAAAAATATAGAATGTAGAATGTAGATACCTAAGGTCTCTGTTATTGTAATAAATCTGATACATTTCTCCCATGAGTATCTTGGCAGTAGGGTTGTCCTTCCCTTCAGCTGCAGCAGCTACTCTCAACTCGTAGCTGTATGCTCTCATCATCCTGTAATAATAATAATTTTATTTTATGCCTAACTAATTTACGCATAAGAGTAACTTCTTTACTAACCAAATGAAAAGAGTAACTCTCTGAGTAATAAATTTCTTAATTAATTTCTTAATTACTAATTTACAGTAACTTTCTAGTTCTAGGTGTCTAAAAGAGAAAATTCCCGGAATTGATTTCGTTTAAATAGAGTGGCATGTCCGATTTACATTCACAAAGGTAGGTACCATGTAAACCTCTGATAAAAGTAAGAAACATATAAGGTTAACACAGTTAGATCGCATTCCCACGATGTAGGAATTATAAATTAGAGTTTGAGTGGATTAACAAAACAATCTCCTTGAATGATTAAAATAAAAAAATTCTTTGATGATTTAGATTTAAAAAAGTTCGTTGATGATTAAAATTTAAAAAATCCTTCATGGTTAAGTTAAATAAATTCCTAGATGATTAAAATAAAATAAAAAAAAACATCTTTGATGATTAAGATAAAAAATTTTCATGATGTTGTCTCGATGATTAAGTTGTGAAAAGCAAAATTATACCTTGCTAGTTTAATAGCTAAATTATACCTTGCTAGTTTAAAAGCAAAATTATACCTTTCTAGTTTAATAGCTAAATTATACCTTGCTATTTTAATAGCTAAATTATACCTTGCTAGTTTAATATCTAAATTATACCTTACTAGTTTAATAGCTAAATTATACCTTGCTAGTTTAATAGCTAAATTATACCTTGCTAGTTTACCCCAGAAGGGGCAGAGTAACCAGGCTATTGTAGAGAAGGTGGAAACAAGATAGAGTGCTAGTAGACCCAGAGCAACCAATAGAACTAATAATGTATAATTCTATTATATTATTATAATAAAAACTCTTAGATCATATATGTATATGCTAGCTATATAGGTTAGACGCCAGGACCAAATGGGCGGACATGTTTTGATGGAAAACATGGGTATCCCGGGGGGTAACATGAATAAAAAATAGGTTTTTTTTTCTTAAAAATTCAACGGGTACTTCAGCTAGTTACTTGTAAAACCCCTCCTTCTTCTGAAAAAGAGCAACCCCTGTGCCTAACAATATCCAGATACGGTAAAGTGCCACTAAATATGAGAGTTAAAGACGACCTAGCATCTTAATGAATACTAGCTTAGAAGCCTAGTTATGCCTGGATTTAAGTCAACCAACTCAACTTAAACGTGTTAAATCAAGCTGAGAACATTCCCGTGGTTCTAACGAGCTTCGCTATCATTCAAATTTGATGCAAATCAGTCCAGCGAAATCTAAATTTATGCAGTAATAACCAGAGAACTGTGGAATACAGAAGACGATATTAAAGTAAAGATCAATTGTATTTTATGACATGGTGTTCCAAAGCGAATAGTTTTACTACCAACTTATTGAATTATCTGTTTCTCGTGTTAATCGAACAATTTGAATTTTATGGTTCTTACTGTAGCAATGAAAAGTGTAATTAGAAAAATAGTTGAATTATTGTATATAGTCCTCGATCTTTCAAACCTGATAAATAGAACTGATGAGGTATTCCTGAACACTCATAATAAACCCCGTGAACATTACAGTAAACATTCTTATTTCAAAAATACAATAACAATAATAATAATAACAATAATGATAATTAATATAAACCAGGTAGGATAGGTTGAAACTAATCTCTTCTTAATATAAACCAGGTAGGATACTAGAAACTACTCTTTTTCTAAATATACACCAGGTAGGATAGGTTGAAACTACTCTTTTTCAAAATATACACCAGGTAGGTTAGGTAGAAACGGTACCCTTGAAACATTTAACTGTTCATCGAGTAGAGAGATTTTTCTATTGAAACATATCGAACTCTGCTTGAATTCCTCATAAACGCGACTGTACAGTCTGAACTCAAACAGCTGATCTGTTACTTGCGTAACTCGAAAGTAGATTGCCTGTTTTACACCAATAGCGTTTTCAAACATTTAAAAGTAGATTTTTATTTTTTGCCACTTTTAGAAAGTGATCTTTTTTAAATATATAACAGCTTGCAAACAAATGTTTAGCACTTAAACGCGTTTTAGTAGATTAATAGGGATATCCTTGACAAGTTGAAGGTTTAAAGGGTATCGTTGTTAATTGGGGGTGCTTCTCTTTTAATGGAAGGTTACTTAAAATTACGCAATTACAGCCCCTTTAAGAATGAAAATTATGACCTACCTTAAAAGACTCTCTAACTTCAACAGTTCTTATATTGTTCTCCAGTTCGTCATTGGATGTGATATTCTAAATAAATGTAACAATTGTTAACAAGTTTTCTTTAGAGTTAGAGCTGGGTGTGTTCCTATATTTTTAAAAAATAATCTGCCCCTCGTTCTAAAATGAGGGCCTTCAACTGGATCGTTCTTTCCTCGTTCGTTCTTTTTAATCCTATCATCTCCGTTCTGTTTTGTTACATTCTTTTTTTTTCTAGCCGTTTCGTTCAGAGGCAACATTTTCCGTGTATTGGAGCCAATGGAGTGCATTCACATGCATTATTACATTTTAATTATTAATACATATAAGTTAATAATCGGTTATTGCATGTTACCTCTAGATTAGAGGATGCTTCAGTTTTTAGTAGAGAATAGAATCCTTCAATTTGAATATTTGTTTTAAATATTCGAGAAAACAAGCGTTCAATGGCAGCTGAAAAAAGAAGATTTAAAAAAATAATGGATTTACTTTGGAAGTGTACATGGAAAATTGTTCCAGTAAACAATTTGCCTATTTAAACTCCAGAAATAAACAAACAAACAAACAAACATGGTCATACAAGTGTTCAATTTATCATCTATCAACCTCAACTAGGGTTTCCGGCAAACGAAACGTTTCGCGAAAAAATGCGACAATTTTCGTTCGTATTTGCACATTTTTTCGCGAAATTAAATAAAGCGAACAATGCGAAAGTTCGCAAAAAAAAATCGCGAATATTTCGCCTTTCATGAAAATATTTTCGCGAAAACCATATTCCGAATTATTTTTCTTCTTCCCGTAATAGATTTTATATTGTGTTTTAAGAAAGAGATTTTAACGGCCGAGAAGGCATTAATAACAAACCTATGAATTGGCTCCTAGTTGTTCTTAAATCTATACATTAGGTCGCTTTATACTTATATTTGGCGGTATATGCGTCTTGTATTCTCAAAATTTTGTCTTTTTTTGGTGAATTTTCGCAAAACTTTCGCTTCCATTTTAATTCCGTATTTTTGGCGAAATTTTCGCATTTATTATTTTGCGAAAACTTCGCATTTTTTCGCGAAACAGATTTGTGCGAAATTTTGCAAAAAAAAGCGAAAATTTTCGCCTTTTCACGAGGGAACGAAATGCGAAATTTTTCGCTTTTTTGCGAAATTTCGCTTTTCGCTGGAAACCATACCCTCAGCTAAGCTTTTGTTGTGTACTGCAGTGATTTGCAGTACTCTGGCGGAATAAATAGTGGGATTTACTGGAGTATGAGTCAACATTTTGCACCGTATTTTATGTACATATATGTGTAAAGCAGAAAAAAATCATAAAATGTACATTTTTAATATTTAAAGAATATAAACCAGAAACAATTATATCGCATAAATCTCACAAAAAGAGAGGATTCATTTGGTGTACTGTTCCGATTTGCCGTCGGTATAGTTATCAAGAATAGTGTACAACTTGCCCGGCTACCTAAAAGTGTTGAAATGAAAGAAGTGTTTAGTGATTTGTTTGTTTACAAAAAGAAGTTTTCAAAAAAACCTTTACATAAAGGGTTACCCACAAATTGTGGGATTTCAGAGACGACTGTACGGAATTAACTCGATCTGTTTCCTTATATTTAGAATTCCTTACTTTCTTTTCCCAATCATGAGAAAAGCCATAAAAAGACAATAATCATGACAAAATACTTAATTCAATCTGGGAAGAGTATTAGTCTGTCTTTACAGTCCTATCCGTAGTGGATAACTCTGTGCGTTACAAAATTTAATGGCACAAAATATTCTAGACGTTTATTTCTTCACAAATGATTGATATTTATGTACTAAATAGTTTATATTTATATACTGAACATTTTATATTTATTTGATATTTATGCATTGAATATTACCAAGTGCTAAAGCTGAGAGAAGAAGTATGTACGGGAAGTATAGCGTGAAGGTAGTAAGTGAGTTCATTGTACAGTATGATTTCACCCAGAAAGGATAAAAGCCTGCATCTTCCTCTTGGGTTGGATTACCCCCACACTGACCCGGCTGGAATTAAGTTTTTTTTTGTATTAAAGTAAAGCATACACTGCGAAAGTTTCTTTGTATGTCCCAAAAAAATATTTATTTATTGATTTTTAAGTTTGCTGAGAAATTGAAAAACAATCAAAGTATTATGCGCTTCTATCAAGATGGAATTGGAAGAGTTTATAGTCTAGTTAGGTTTAATTGGAAGAGTTTAGTCTAATTAGGTTTAACTGGAAGAGTTTAGTTCTAGTTAGGTTGAATTGGAAGAGTTTAGGTCTAATTAGGTTGAACTGGAAGAGTTTAGGTCTAGTCAGGTTGAATTGGAAGAGTTTAGGTCTAGTTAGGTTGAACTGGAAGAGTTTAGGTCTAGTAAGGTTGAACTGTTAGAGTTTAATCTAGTTAGGTTTAATTGGAAGTGTTTAGGTCTAGTTAGGTTGAACTGGAAGAGTTTAGTTCTAGTTAGGTTGAATTGTAAGAGATTAGGTCTAGTTAGGTTGAATTGGAAGAGTTTAGTCTAGTTTGGTTGAATTGGAAGAGTTTAGGTCTAGTTAGGTTGAACTGGAAGAGTTTTGGTCTAGTTAGTTTGAATTGGAAGAGTTTAGTCTATTTAGGTTGAATCGGAAGAGTTTTGGTCTAGTTAGGTTGACCTGGAAGAGTTTTGGTCTAGTTAGGTTGAATTGGAAGAGCTTATGCCTAGTTAGGTTGAATTGGAAGAGTTTTGGTCTAGTTAGGTTGAATTGTAAGACATTAGGTCTAGTTAGGTTGAATTGGAAGAGTTTAGGTCTAGTTAGGTTGAACTGGAATAGATTTGGTCTAGTTAGGTTGAATTGGAAGAGTTTTGATCTAGTTTGGTTGAATTGGACGGGTTTAGTCTAGTTAGGTTGAACTGGAATAGTTTTGTTCTAGTAAGGTTGAATTGGAAGAGTTTAGTATAGTTAGGTTGAATTGGAAGAGTTTAGGTCTTGTTAGGTTGAATTGTAAGAGATTAAGTCTAGTTAGGTTGAACTAAAAGAGTTTTGTTCTAGTTGGGTTGAATTGGAAGAGTTTTAGGTCTAGTTAGGTTGAATTGGAAGAGTTTAGGTCTAGCTAGGTTGAATTGGAAGAGTTTAGGTCTAGCTAGGTTGAATTGGAAGAGTTTAGATCTGGTTAGTTTGAATTTAAAGAGTTTAGTCTATTTAGGTTGAATCGGAAGAGTTTTGGTCTAGTTAGGTTGAATTGGAAGAGTTTTGGTCTAGTTAGGTTGAATTGGGAGAGTTTAGGCCTGGTTAGGTTGAATAGGAAGAGTTTAGATCTGGCTAGGTTGAATTGGAAGAGTTTAGATCTAGTTAGGTTGAACTGGAAGAGTTTTGTTCTAGTTGGTAAAAATATTTATTTATTGATTTTTAAGTTTCCTGAGAAATTGAAAAACAATCAAAGTATTATGCGATTCTATCAAGATGGAATTGGAAGAGTTTAGTCTAGTTAGGTTTACTTGGAAGAGTTTAGGCCTAGTTAGGTTGAATTGGAAGAGTTTAGGTCTAGTTAGGTTGAACTGGAAGAGTTTAGGTCTAGTCAGGTTGAATTGGAAGAGTTTAGGTCTAGTTAGGTTGAACTGGAAGAGCTTAGGTCTAGTAAGGTTGAACTGTTAGAGTTTAATCTAGTTAGGTTTAATTGGAAGTGTTTAGGTCTAGTTAGGTTGAATTGTAAGAGATTAGGTCTAGTTAGGTTGAATTGGAAGAGTTTAGTCTAGTTTGGTTGAATTGGAAGAGTTTAGGCCTAGTTAGGTTGAATTGGAAGAGTTTAGATCTAGTTAGGTTGAATTGGAAAAGTCTAGTTCTAGTTAGGTTGAACTGGAAGAGTTTTGGTCTAGTTAGTTTGAATTGAAAGAGTTTAGTCTATTTAGGTTGAATCGGAAGAGTTTTGGTCTAGTTGACCAGAGTCTAAAACTAAAGAACGAAAAGATTTGACTTAAATCTTAAGTTCATGGTTAAATGCCACTTCTGACTTAATTTAAACCTGAACTTTAACCGCGAGGTTAAATATTTAACCATGTGGTTAAATATTTAACTCGCCGAAATCGATGAGTGAAAATTTAAACACAGGGTTAAAATCTTGAAATCCCGCAATCCCGATTTGTCCATCATCATTCAGCGGTAAGTGGCATTCAACTAATTACGATATATTTAAAAGTAAAAACCTTGATTTAATAAATTTCACGTTTTAGATTAATTAATGTTTGCACGTAAATAATTTAAAATTTAAAAATCAGCTGATTACCAATAGTTTCGTAATAATTCTTTTCTCTGATTGGTTCAGATTTTCCCGGGAAATTCAAATTTAAAATTGAGAAAGTTAGATATTTAAATAGCTACTCAGAACTTTTACAGAACTTTTAACCTCGAACTTAAAATTCGCGCATTCTTTAGTTTTAGACTCTGGAAGAGTTTTGGTCTAGTTAGGTTGAATTGGAAGAGCTTATGCCTAGTTAGGTTGAATTGGAAGAGTTTTGGTCTAGTTAGGTTGAATTGTAAGACATTAGGTCTAGTTAGGTTGAATCGGAAGAGTTTAGGTCTAGTTAGGTTGAACAGGAATAGATTTGGTCTAGTTAGGTTGAATTGGAAGAGTTTTGGTCTAGTTAGGTTGAATTGGAAGAGTTTTGGTCTAGTTTGGTTGAATTGGAAGAGTTTAGTCTAGTTAGGTTGAACTGGAATAGTTTTGGTCTAGTAAGGTTGAATTGGAAGAGTTTAGGTCTAGTAAGGTTGAATTGGAAGAGTTTAGTATAGTTTGGTTGAATTGGAAGAGTTTAGGTCTTGTTAGGTTGAATTGTAAGAGATTAAGTCTAGTTAGGTTGAACTGGAAGAGTTTTGGTCTAGTTAGGTTGAATAGGAAGAGTTTAGGTCTAGCTAGGTTGAATTGGAAGAGTTTAGATCTAGTTTGGTTGAATTGGAAGAGTTTTAGGTCTAGTTAGGTTGAATTGGAAGAGTTTAGGTCTAGCTAGGTTGAATAGGAAGAGTTTAGATCTGGCTAGGTTGAATTGGAAGAGTTTAGATCTAGTTAGGTTGAATTGGAAGAGTTTAGGC